ATATATGAGTACAGCCCTCACAAATCTGTATTTTAAATTGATATTTTCTATAGGATGCTTATATCTGTGCATATACATTACATCAGCACTGAAGCCAAATTTGGAGCTAATCTAGCTAAATAACTTACGATAACAGTCCAAAAATGAGTAGCCCAAGTTTATGTTTTAGGGGAAGTATATTAAATAAAAATCAAGATTTTTTTTTTGAAAAACATAGTTGAAATCTTGTAGTTTTTTTAAAATGTATTCTTTATGTTTCTAAAGATATTCTGTGAAATCCGTTTAATAAATGTTTTGTTTAAATGCACCAAATTATATTACCTTAATTCACAGAGAAATTGTTAAAAATATTAATATTCAAAATGGGGTGTGCTCAATTATGCTGAGCACTTTATTTATGTTATGTATTATGTTTCATAGCTGAGTTTACTTCAGTTTTTAGCAGTGTTGTGGGTAACGCATTACAAGTAGCGCGAGTCACGTAATAATATTATTTTTTTAAGAAACAAGTAACACATTACTTTTAAAAATTAGGTAATAATATTTGAGTTAAAGGAAATGTTTGATAATCTTGCTGTTAAAAATGAATTTATATAATCAATGGTAAAGCAGAGACTTAAAGTGTGATCTCAGTCGCTTTATAAATGGATAGAATTAGATGAAAATATTGGATGTCTTTGGCTTTGGAAAGATGACTGTAATTTAAAAGTCAATGTAATGTTATTTTTATTATTATTATTAATATTATTATTATTATATGCGCACACACTTTGGTCAATTTAAATGTATTTTTTATAGTATAGTATTTTATTTTAAATGTAATTTCTGTTTAACAAATGTTGGAGTGGAAAAGCACATTCTGAAATATTATGTAAGTTAATATTCTGTATTGTTTGCTGGGTTTTATAATATAATTAAAATCAATGAATACAAAGTTGAAAAAAAAAAATATTTAAGTTACTTTTTAAAAAAATGTAACGTGAGTTACTTTTTAATTTGGTTAATTCACTTAAAAAATAAACTGCTGGATTATATAAATGAAAACTGATTTTACCTCACTAATGAGATGAAATGTGTAAAAGCAGCAAACACTTGCTTTAAACTTTCATTAATCTATATATACGGCATAGAGCTCTGCAGTCAGGAAGTTCCCTAAAGATAACATTATCCTACATTCATTTTTTATGTGTTTTATTAAGCTAAATAAAGGTTATACAGTGTGATGTTAATTGCAGAGCTCATCTATATAAAAAAGGAAGGAAAAACCCCTGCTAAAAGAGATCAACCCTCAGCTAGGTCAGAAAAGTAACGCAAAAGTAACTTAAGGCATTACTTACCATAAAAAGTAACTAGTTACTCAATATTGTAATGCATTACTTTCAAAAGTAACTTTCCCCAACACTAGTATTTAGTGCATTTGTTTCTTCAGAAATAATCCCAAGATGCCAATTGATTTATTTAAATTGTATATTCAAAGCATTTGTGCTGTTTATTTTTGAGCACACTGTCATACTTTTTTCAGAAAGTGTAAAAAAAAATCACTTGGTTGAAATAAATAGAAATGTTTTTAACTTTACTGTTACTTTTGATCAGTTTAATGCATCCTTGATAAATAAAATTATTTCTTCCTCGTTTAGTTTTTTTAATGCCAAAAAGAAAATAAACTCGGCCCAAACTTTTGAATGGAAACATTTGAAAAAAATTGGAATCGTGTAATTTCTAAATGACCCAAAATGTATAGTTGAAGTCAGAATTATTAGCCCCCCTGAATTTTTAGCACCCCTGAATTATTCGCACCCGTTTATTTTTTCCCCCAATTTCTGTTTAAGGTAGAGAAGATTTTTTCAGCACATTTCTAAACATAATAGTTTTAATAACTCATCTCTAATCACTGATTTATTTTATATTTGCCATGATGACAGTAAATATTATTTTACTGGATATTTTTTGAGACAATTCTATACAGCTTCAGTGACATTTAAAGGCTTAATTAGGTTAACTAGACGCAGGTTAGGTAATTAGGCAAGTCAGTGTATAATGATGGTTTGTTCTGTAGACTGTCGGGAAAACATATAGCTTAAAGAGGCTAATAATTTTGTCCTTAAAATGGTTTTTAAAAACTGCTTTTATTGTGACTGAAATAAAACAACTAAGACTTTTTCCAGAAGAAAAAATATTATCAGACATACTGTGAAAATTTCCTTGCTCTGTAAAACATCATTTGGGAAATATTAAAAAAAGAAAAAAATGTTTAAAGGGGGGCTAATAATTCTGAATTCAACTGTACTTTAAGTGTATATCTTCCAATGGTTTTAATTGAATTCCCAATATCTAAATATATTGTAAAAGCTTTTTAACATGCACAGTTTTGAAGATTTACATTAAATGTGGGCAATACTCAACACTGAGATTCAAACATTAAGCAATAAAGGCTCATCTTTGTTTTGCTCTGACATCTTTTCTTGTATATATGATGAATATGTTTCCTTCACATTGTGCACTGACCATCTGATAATGATTCATCTGCAAATGAGTATCTCAGACTGTAATGCAGGCCGTTTGAGCAGATCTGCTGTATTGTTGCTGTGTGTCTGGTTGTTTTTTGAGCTGATAATGATAGCGAGGTTATGTGTGCATGCAAGCTTCAATCGTAGATCTAGACTGCCTCTGTTTGTACACCACCGATGTTATTCTCACAAATAGTATCACAATGTTTTTCTTCATTGTTTGATTTTCCTCTGCCGGTGTGTTAGATGTGAGATCATGATGGTCTGATGCAGTGGAAAAAAAAAACACCAAAATATCTTAGCTTGCGAAGGACTGTGTAGAATTGATGTAGAAATGATCATGTTTAGAGAGTTTATTAGATCTAGAAGTGCAATAATCTAAAGCTGAAGGACAATATGTAAGACCAAAAAAACACATGCATATATATTTAAAAATGACGAATTCATTTGTACTAGAATGTAAAAATGGACCACAGTATATTTGGATGTCACTGCTCTGAACACAGATTTGATTCTGCCGTCTTTGTTGATGTTGACCAAACTTTGCATATTTGAATTCAACATTTCGTATATTTAATTACTTTTTTGTTTACTTTGTAATGAAAATTGAAATACTGCCCAGTTATTTCAGCAGCAACTGTTACTTTTTGCGGACGATATCATGAGTGGTTTACAATGTTTGTTTTCTTCTAAGCTGCTAAATCTTACTGGACACATGCACACCTGTTAGTACAGTATGTTTGTTTGTAAACAATAAAGGACTGAAAAAAAAGCTTTCTGGTGGCCATCATTTATTTACAGTGCTGTTACAGTTTTTTTTTTAAACAATCACTGTGACATTTTCTTTCAATACATTTATACATTTAATAACTAGTGTTATATTTACAGAGTTTTACTTTGTTGCTTCTATTGCATTGCATTCATTAAAATGTAACAAAAAATATTTGGTTTAGATTTTTTTGGTAAACAGACTAAATGTAAATTGGTTAAATGGGTAGAATTTGTTATTTAAAATCAGGGTGTTCCCCCAAATGCTGCTTTTGTAACTCTTCTGAAATTAAAACATTGCTGGTGTCTAAAAATGATGTAACAAAGCTTAATATAACAAGCATTTGTTTATCTGATAGACATTTTTTCTGAAAAAGACAAGAAAATGCTGTAAAGGACTATTGTTTGGCATTTGGAAGAATAGAATAAAACATTTACTAACATTTTTCTCTGAAAAAAAAAACCTTCCAAATGTGGGTGCTGTTATACAGATTTTTTCAGAACACTAAAGCATTTTAATAATAATAATAAAGCATCTAATTTATTTTGTTTTTGCTATGATGAAAATACATAGTTTCTATGCATAATAATATTTAAAAGTCTAAATGATGCCTTTAAAGACATGACGAGATTTTTCGTTTAATGTAAGGTCTTATAGCCGTCTTATTTTTACATTATAATTATTATTATATTTGATATATTATAGCCTATATGTAATTTCAACTTTATTAGTCATAATTTCCACTTTTAATCTTGTCATTTCATAGGCTGTCAATCTACTTTTTAAAGTATGTTTTTTTTCGCCCTCATCTGCTGGAATTATTAACGTGAGGGTGTCTATTAATTAATTTACGAAATCCCAAATGCAGTAGATAAAATCTCTGATGATGCTAGGCAAACGTGTCATGTAACACTTCTATTTCGTGTTTTGACGATATATGGTTTGGAATCAAACAAACTGGCTTAAAGGTGGTCAAACAAACGCAAGTGCAGGTTGAAGACAGGAGCAAGTGATTTAAATCATGTTCTATATAAAAGCACCTGCATGCGAAACGGCTTCTAGTTCCCACAGGAACAACAGAAAACTACCTCACCTCAGGTAAATAAACCTGCGTATCTCGTCATGAAGTTACAATGTAACCTGTTCACCTAATGTTTCATTCACTGATTTTTTATTTTTTTTTTGCCTTAGTCCCTTTATTAATCCGGGGTCGACACAGTGGAATGAACCGCCAACTTATCCACCATATGTTTCACATAGCGCATGACCATCCAGCAGCAACCCATCACTGGTAAACATCCATAAACACACGTACACTACGGACAATTTAGGCTACCCAATTCACCTATAGCACATGTCTTCTAGCGAAACGCCAACTGACCCAGCCGAGGATCGAACCAGCAACCTTCTTGCTGTGAGGCAAACGTGCTACCCACTGTGCAGCCACCTAATGTTTACGATCAAAATATTTATATTATTTGCTAATTGATAACCTCATGTGGAACTGAATCTGTCTCAATTCGGAGTCTGCTAGTCCACCGGAGGTCACATTTTGAAAGCAGAATATCTTCAGCATTGCTTTTCAGATACATATTTATAAAATGTTAACATAAAAACAAATGTCTAGAAATCCTCTAAAGGTAGCCTATCCTTGTAGTTTCTTCATAGCGTTGAATAACAGCAGACCGCGACTCCTGTTGTCAGAATAAGTCAATGAGCAGACATTTTATTTTTCACTTTTTTTATTATTTGTGTTAACGGTACATTTCATACAGTACTTGTGTAAAACAGCTGAAGGCTTCAGTACTTGTGAATATTCGAAGGTTACATTCATAAACACATTCAGAACACCTGAAAAGCTGTTGAAAGTTAAAGGTTGCTTTATGGTTGCTTTTGTGTTCTATCAAACTTACAGGCACAGTATTTGGTAATACAAGGTGAAAAAGAGCACGACCTGACCTGACATCAGAGTCAACACTGAAAAATATCTCATTTAAAGCAAATGACACACATGATGGATTCCCTTGAGTTTACGTCAGGCAGCTGCCATGTATATTTCTCATATTCTTATTAAATATTTACAAAGGAAAGTGATGGTAATATTGCACACAAATGCAAGGCACCCTTTAACCTGCTTCGGAAAAGCCTGAATAAAAAGATCATTTGGACGTTGAAAAACCACATCATCACATGCATTCTGGAGTCATTAAATGAATGCGGTTTTAATGAGCACTTCTGAGGTCATCTTTACTGACTGATTATATAATGTATTTAAATGCAGAGAGACTCCAGCTGAGGATTTCACTTAACGAAAGCTGTCATTCAGTCGCACTGATTTTTTAATATTACTGGAGTTCCTAAATCACCCGCAAAACATCAGTCAAAACAAACAATAACCTCAAAAATGATCCAAGGAATGCTTGAAAAGTGACACTAGGCTATATGCCATAAATATGCATAAACATATTGCTTAAATAAGTTTGTAAACTGAAGCTGGACTATGCTGTCTGAACAGCTTCAATAGAGTAGTTTCAGATAAACAGCTAATTAAATATGCAGTAATGGAAACAAAGACAATCGATTACGAAGATGTGAATAACAGTGATTTGAAATATGTTAGGTGCACATGGAGTTAGTTTTCTGTGTGTGATGAGATTCAAAGTGACAGAGCTGGACTCAGGAATTCAGGGAAGGTTTTATTCGCGTGGTTCATTTGGTGGTGGGATCTTGACGTCAGACGGCTCGACACCCCAGATCTCCCGCGCATATTCAGCGATCGTACGGTCACTGGAGAACTTTCCCGATGCTGCAATGTTCCGGATCACCTTTTTGGTCCATTCTTTTGGGTTCTGTGGGGAACAAAAATCTTTATTTCTTATCAAGTTTTTTTTTTTTTTTTTTTTTTTGTGAAAAACACATTAGGTTGGAAAGTTACATTTCAACATATGTTTAAAAATAGGGGAGAGCGGGGACAAAAGTAACATTTAAAAAAAAAAAACTCATTTTAAAAGACATTGTTTTTAGCAAAAATATATTTTTGCTGTGGTGACTAACTCACAACAATGGTCTTTCAAAATCAAATGTTATATTGTATCAATGTAGAACTGAAATGTCCAAACTCGGTCCTGGAGGGCCGGTGTCCTGCAGATTTTAATAATCAGCGAGATAAAGTAACACATGGGTGGGTCAAAAGTAACAACAATAGTTGCTCGATTTACTGGCTTAATCTTGTTTATTTGAAATATATCTGACTATAACCTTGTTAATGCTAACTGCAAACATTTTCTCCTTTATTTTTGCAAAAAATAAAAAAAATAAAAAAATTTATTTCACATTTCAGCTACATTAAATGTTTCAAAAGCAATCCAACAATGCAAAATGTTAACATTTACTATAAATTTTGAAAAATTTTATTATTATTGGCAATATGCATTCATCTTATAAAACATACGAGTCAAAACACTGAAAACTAATGTGGAAGTAAAAAATAAGGCATGGCTATTAGCAGTTACTTGGCAGTAACAATGTTTCTTACATTCCCACAGGTACTCATTTAATACTGATTAATTTTTAAAATACTGAAAAACAAGATTTTAAAGTATTTTAAACTTAAGGATGTGTGATTGCACTAAATACCCTGTAGACACATCAAAAGAGAAACACAACTTGTAATGAGGAAAAAAAAAAACCCTGTAATAATTGACTTTTTGCACATAAAAAAAATCAGCTGATATTCGGCAGCTCTATCAGGGGTTGCATGTAAATGCACTGTTATAGCCTGGATATTAAAGGTTGTCAGGGCTTTGAGAAAATCATTTGGTTACTTTTGTCTCCACTCTCCCCTACTCTTACTGAAAAATAGCTGTACAAGAAATTTTGCATGTGCATCTATCGATTTCAAAATTAGTAATGCTGTATTTTTTACGGCAAATACATTTGCAACTGACTACAGGCTGCACTGGGTCAAAAGAGCGTTAATGTTCAAGATGTTTTACAATTTCATTTTGAAATAAAATGTAAAATAGACTGCCAATAGCAATAAATAAAACATTTACAAAAAGCTGAGACCCTGGACCACAAATCTGTCATAAGAGTCAATATTGTTGAAATTGAGATTCACACATCATCAGAAAGCTGAATAAATTAGGTGTATGCTTTGTTAGTTGTATCTCAGCCAAATAACCGCTTGTTAAGTGTGACGTCACGCGAAGCGGCTTCCGGGTCAAAGCGCTCTATTCAACTGAATGAGGAGACTCATGAAATGGTAATAATAAACGTTTTCAAAGCGATTTAAGGCTTTCGAAAATCACGATCACAGTATATATGTCCATGCCTAATATCCAATGGCCAGAAAGTGATTCATTTTTTTATAAATTGTTACATTTTTGGTATTTGTTATGCAGCAAGCCCAGAGATTGTTGTGTACAGTATGATTTTATGTAAATTAACTTTAATGTGTGATAGGAATAAAATGTGTTCATAAACGAATGATTACTCCACTTAAATGAATGGTGGCCTGGACCCGGAAACAGTATTACATGCGTCAAAAACACGTCACCACTTAACAAGCGGATAGTCATATACTATTTGAAAATCTAAAATGGAGGATTTAAAAAAATATTGAAATATTCAGAAAAATCACCTTTAAATTTTATTCCTAGCAATGCATATTACTAAATTTAAATTTTGATACATTTACAGAAGGACATTTATAAAAGTTTGGAGATGATCGCCATCGACTAACAGTTTATAAAGTGTTAGTGCCCCCTTGTGTCAACTGCAATTATAAGATATTTTGAACTAATACAGCTTGTAGTTTACATGAAAATGTTTAGAGTGTTTAATATTTTTTATATAATGTTATTACTATTAACATAGCTATTTATTTTATATAGTGAAAAACCTCATATTGGTAAAGCACTAAGGCTCTTAACTCACCTTGTAAAGTTCATTAACTTTGTCTTGACAGCTGATATAGGACTCGTAATCTGCAAACACCTTGAACCTTAAAGAGACGAACAGAAGTCAGAAAACTCTTAAAGATGCAAAAATACTCAAAACATTCGAGACGTGCATGTAAATGCATTATTATTATTAGTAGTAGTAGATTAAAATTATAAAAACAAGTTCAAGTTTTTTTGACAAAAAAATACAAATAAAAAAAAAAATATCACAATCCCTGACGAGCCCCCAATAAATGTTACAACCTCTTTGATTATGACTGCTGCTTCCTCTTTAGTGTCAAACAATCAGAAATCATGTGCCCTTTCTTGTGACAGTAAAACCATTCACGTTCCTCTTTGTTATGAGGTGGGCTAGTTTTCAAATGTGTGGTCTGAGAGAGTTTGTGATTTTTCAGGACGTACTGACATAAAAACATTTTTGTGGGTTAACACACATTCATCTGCGAGTACAGCCGCGTGTGCCAACAAAGTCACTACCTGTTCATTTAGGTACAAAACCCAAACATTCTGACAAGCATCCCTTAAAGAGCGTTAATGTTACTGGAAGAATTTAAGTTTCAAAATCTATAGCCTTGCTAGCAGTGCAGTACTTGGCAAATAGTAGATATTTTTCTTTTGCAAATTCAACAAACATTTGTGCATATCTCTTTTTGTACTTTCTAAAATGCTGTCTAAGTTTCTGGAACCAATTCATACCAATCCATACCAATTCACCAATTCAGTGGCATGGACATTAAGGTCTGCAAATGACTTTACATACTAAGCATTTTATATGCAAGTAAGCTTAAACCATGTTAATTTGGGAAAAATTGTTCCATTGACAGTTTTTAGTGGATAAGATAATAGACCCTTTTGACATGACGTCCAGTTTTTGAACCAAAAAATGGGACTTTAAACAGTCTATTGCTTTGTGTTGCTGTCTTTACTGCAGATGAAGTTGGTATGTACTTGTCAGTATTTGTCAAATAAAGATTTCAGATGTTTACACGTGTGCTAAACATTTTTTTATGTCAGATTTATTTCATTTATTTATTTTTTGTGTGTACTAAAGAATAAGTAATAAATAAAACTGGGGGTGTTTACTATGGTTGTTTACAGTGGACAGCTGATTCACAAACACATTCATATTATTTACATTTTCTATACAGGTATTTTATTCATGAACATAAAACATTTATGTCTCTAATATTCCAATTAAATGGAATAACAATGTTGTATAGGACTCCAACTATGCAAACGAAATCAATATAAAAATTTGCATTTGCAAAAATAACACTTCAAGAAGACGGCATTTTAATTCAGTATTATTGGATTATGAATTTATCTGTAATTAAAAGGTAGTACAGATATCAAATTAAATCCACCCAAAAGGTAGCGGCAGGACATAATTCATTCATTCAAATGAAGAAACTGAACAAAACATTAATAGATCAGTAAATAATAAATGATGAAATTGGTTGCATTTATATACATGCTTATGGGAAAATAAATAGATTTAATTAAAAAATTTTACTCATGCTGGAACATTTACATATAACAAATTAATATACATTTATATTCAGAGCAGCATTAAAGTAAAAATAAATCCATTATTTTTGGATAAAAAAAAAAGGGAAAAGGTTGCAAACATATGCTTTCCTCGACAACCAATAGCTTATTCCTATTCTTAATAACTTAATAAATCTTTTTCAAACTCAGAAAGCAGTTCAGTATTGAAAGAGAAACATTTAGACACATGCCCAAAACCAAGAATAAATCAGATCAGTGCAATGTTAATATTTTTATTTGTAAATTTCCCTGAGAAGTCTTCATTCATTTAAAGGTAAACTGGAACTAAAAATACACTGCGCTGCCGATAGGGGGAGGCGAAGTGACGTCATTGTGAAAATGGTTTATTACTCTGTGCAGATTATAACCCCAAAAATGTAAATATTAAATAGGTCAATCTCAGTAAATGTTTATGTAAATCAGCATAAAATGTACACAAAAATACAGATCAAACATGACACATTCTAACATACAAAAAAAGCCACTCACCTGTCATGATCCATGAGCATGTTGACAACATCTTTGAAGAGCTCAGGCTCTTTGGGACTGAAGAATCCAGAGCTGATTTGATCCATCACCAGTTTCAGTTCAGGCAGACGCTCATAATATTCCCTGGCATTATATCTGTCACAAACAGAGCCGTTACTGTGGACTAAATGTCACTAAATTATTAAAACAGAGTTCAGTAACTGAAAATAATAAGCTGAAACGAAATAAAACAAATATGTAAAGAATAAAAATCAACAACAATTACTTTAGTTTATTAGCTAACAGGAAATACATCAGCACAATCAGCAAACTACTGATGCCTGATCTCCTCTCCTTATCCTCCATTGAATGATACATCCTTTACCATCACTCTTATCCTGTAGATATCATTCGCTCTCTCACCCTTTCTTGTCCATGTCCTCCACATCCTGGACTCTCATGCCGAAGATGAACAGGTTTTCTTCTCCAGCTTCCTCTGCCATCTCCACATTAGCGCCGTCCATCGTGCCGATGGTCAGAGCGCCGTTCAGCATGAACTTCATGTTTCCAGTGCCGGAGGCTTCGGTTCCTGCAGTGGAGATCTGCTCAGACAGGTCAGCGGCGGGAACCACTGGGGGAAAAATTGACAAATCACATATTCTATAACAGGTACAGTATGCAGCAGAGATCACAAAAAAGCCACATGACCAATCACAACACACGCGCGCCCGCGCGCGCGCACACACATTGCAGTGTGCAATATGGCCAAAAATGACATCCAGGACCATTTTAGATCATGAAAATGAGGTGTATCTTGGCTGGGTAAAGAACAGTATCTTTACGTTTCAAGGATTGGCTGTTTGCACTGATGTCCCACCTTCATGTGCACACGCTTATGAACTCAGAATCAAAGGCAGAGAGATAAATTCAGAGTATGTCAAGTCACCATCATGGTACAGGCCTCAGATCGGTTTGTGTGTTAACTCACCCTTCTCTGCTAAAGAGACTCTGTAGTTCTCCAGGAAAATGACTTTGAGTCTGTCTCCAACCACCGGATCGTGGTTGACCACTTCTCCCACTGACGTGATCAGCTTTATGATCATCTTGGCCATGTGGTAGCCTGGGGCTGCCTGCATCACGACAGAAATTAAAACAGATTCAGTAAACTCTTTAGACGTCTTCACAATTTGGTTTTGTTGATTTGTTTGGCGTAGACCACTCTGGGTCACAAAGCGTTTACACATTCACACAGGCTTTTTAGAGACATCTATTTGGTTCTATTTATGGTGTTGATTCTGTCTTTGGCAGCCATAAACATATAACAATTGTATAGTGGTGTGGGGGGCGTGGATGATATAAGCAATAAAATGCTATTCTTATACATATTTAAGAAATGAAACGTCAAATATTTTACAATATAATCAATTTGAGCTGAGAATTGGTCACGCAGAACCTTAGCACAAGTGGAGATGCTATTGTTGTTTTGATCCTTCTTTTCAATTGATTTGCAGTAAAATCAGATCAGTAAAATCCAGGAAAACAAAGCTTGAAGTCCGCTGAGCTGTTTGTTGGAGTTTTGAAAAAAAGTGTAACCTTTTACATTCTTTTTATGCCCAAGCACAATAACTTTCAAAAATATCAATGATTTTAGAAGAGCCAAAGATATGTTTTAATAAAACAGTGTTTTTTTCTCCAAAATTCCAATAAAGTTTTGTAATATTTTAAGATTACTGGTTGAGAAACACCGTTTTAAAACACATCAATCTACACTTAAATGCAATTATGGCAGTTAATAATAATGATCATTTTAAAAGTATTATTTTTTAATAGAATTAAAAACAATTCACCAACCTTTCCTCCAATCATCACTGTCCTGGGAACAAACTTCTTGTTGGGTTCTTTCTTTATGCCTAAAATGCAGAATTAAAAATTTTAAATCATTCATTCATTTTCCTTAGGCTTAGTCCCTTTATTCATCAGGGGTCACCATAGTGGAATGAACTTAACCAGAATGTTTTACAATGCCAACTTATCCTGCATATGTTTTACAAAACATCCATACACACTTACACATTATGGCCAATTTAGTTTATTTAATTAATCTATAGCGCATGTCTTTGGACTGTGGGGGAAACTGGAGCACCCGGAGGAAACCCACGTCAACATTGGGAGAACATGCAAACTCTACATAAAAATAACCTATGTGTGGGATGGATGGATGGACGGACAGACAGATAGACAGGAATAGAATTACATAATTTCCAGATAAACTAAAAAAATTAACTTGATGGGAAAACCCAAGAGAGATAGCTATGGAAGTGAGCCATTAAAGACAATCAGTAAAAGAAGAAAAGAAAAAAATTATAATCCATACATGTTGTGTATGTACTGTATAGTCAGTTCCTCTGTCTTCAGGCAGATGGCAGCATTCAGCCATTAATCTCCTCATCTATGCCTACTGTGTGTGCGCGAGTGTGTGTGCGCATGTGTGGTCTTACGGTTATATAGAGTGATGATGTGAAGGCAGTTCAGTAATTGTCTCTTGTACTCATGGATTCTTTTGACCTGGATGTCAAAGATGGACTCTGGATTTATCTTGACATTGTATTCGTTCTCCAGATATGCTGCAAATTTCTGCTTGTTTTCCTAAAATGTACAATAACAACAAAAAAGTTTAACATGAAGTCAAAAATTTCACCAAAAATACAAAAAACAAAGACAGTTGTTCATTTTCCTAAAAAAAAAAGGAATGAAATGTATGTTTAACCTGTTTAACTTTGGCCACGTCCCGAATGAACATTTCATCATTGATGAAGTCCAGCAGTTTTCTAAGCTGGAAAAGATCCGTCAAGAAGTCCTCACCAATTTTCTGAAAGACAAACAAGTACAAAGCAGTAAGGGACAGAAGAAAAATATACAGTATATATGATTGGAAAAAAAAGAATATTAAAATAAATTATTATAAAATAAGTTAAATAGGTACAATAAATGTGTTTTTAACAACTTAAAATAAAACACATTATTGCATTAGGGAAAAAAAATAAATAATACAAAAAAAACTAAGTTAAATAAAGTGTAAAAAAATATATAAATAAATATATAAAAAATAATAAACAAACCAAACCAAAACAAAACACCTATAATTGGTTAAGAAGGTCACCTCAGCGATGATATCTGCCAGGCCGGGGTTGCAGAGCAGCAGCCATCGGCGAGGTGTGATACCATTTGTCTTGTTTTGAAACTTCTCTGGCTCAATGTCACAAAAGTCCTTAAATCTGAAACCAGTTTAAAAATAATATTAATAATAATAATTATCCCCAAGTCCAAAAACCTTCACTGAAAACTAGTGCTAATCACCTAAATAGTACACATACAACTTCAAAACGGTTTGTTTCGAAAGCTTCATTTCATCATTACACTATTGTTGTACAGTGACTGATTCTCTGTACTCACACAGTAGTCTTGACAATGTCAGAGTGAATGCGTGCCACACCATTGACAGCGTGAGAACCGACCACACAGAGGTGAGCCATGTTTATCCTCTTTGGGTCGCCCTCCTCGATCAGAGACATCCTGCGCAAACGATCTGTGTCACCTGGGTAAAGCGCAGAGATCCTCTACAAGACACAGACATACCGATACATGATCAAAAAAATGCATCAAACTGCAGAGCTAGATGAGGGTCATGCATCGTGTTGAGAAAAATTTTATAAGTTATTATAAAGTCACCATTTTCTCATTGAATGTAGTTTAATATGTGATACAGTATTATTCAAAAATAACATTCAAATGTATTACCTTTTATTCCTTAGGAACATATTTAAGTGTGAAATTAAAAAACATTTATAAATAAAAATGCAATAACACATCAGAGCTTAAATGAACACATGACTGCTCACATATTTCCTTACAGGTCACATTAACTAACACATAAAGATCAGTTTAAACTGTGTAAAGGCATTAATACAACCAAGTTCAAGTTGCTTTATTAGCATGACATTTAATACAGTATTGCCAAAGCATTTTAAATATGTAATAACATCAAAGAAAAAATACAGTAAATAAGAAATAAATAATAAAAAAACAGATAATAAATGTAATAAATATACTAATTATAATAATAATAATAATTAAAAAGTTGAGATTATTTAAATAAGATGCATGAATTTACATTAACCATTTCTTATGGTGTGTAGGATGTATTCATATTTTGCAGCTAGTTTAGATGTCAATTCATCCTCTCCAAATACATGGCAAAGTTTCTCTGAGTCATTTAAATAAAAATATTAATTACTCAATGTTTCGAATTGGGGGAAAAATGTTTCTCTAGTTGTGGTGTATTTGGGACAGAAAAGAAAGAAGTGTGTTTCATCCTCTATTTGGTTTGTGTCACTGATTTTTTATGTCTGCCCTTTTCTATTTCCAGGTCATGATCACAGAGGCGATATTTAGAAAGCAGGTGCTTTTTTAAAAATTGTTTTAATGATAAATAATTTGCCAACTGTGTGTTCTGTTTAGAATCGAATAACATTGAAGTTGAGGTTGATTTCAGCTTTTAGTTTTTCATCATAATCGTATTTTAATGTTTTGTCAGTTATTTATGTTTGTGAAGGTTTTGTTTGGGTTTTTTTCAGTAGTAAAGATACAAGTGTGTTTAGAGGATGAGACACTGTAGGTTTTTCATTGGCCAGAAGGGCTTTATAATGGACAGACTGGAGGTCAGACTGATGCAGGTGCAGCCAGAATTCAACAGCTCGTTTTTGAATCTTCAAGTTCAGCGGATATAAACCCAATTCAGCCAGCAATCCATTTCTCCCAATATTGCAGGTGTTTGTCTATCTGTAGTTTTAAAGAAAAAGTCATTGTCTCCATATTTTGAACGTTAGATATGATATCCAACCGTTCAGATTTTTAGGGGGTTCGAGTTGTAGCCACTTTCGAGTTACAGCTTTCTTACTGGTTGCTAGAAGTAATTTTAATAAATACTTGTCTTTTACTATTATGTTGGCTGCGATATTCCCCAGGTAAAAGAAAACCTGGGAATACCTTCTTTGTTGTAAAAGAAAAGTCCACATCATCACCAAAAATATTTCGTATTGCTTGCATTACATCCTGCCAGTGTGACTCAATAGCTGGGCAACTCCAAAATATGTGAAAATGCTTTGCTAATGGTCTTGCCCACATTTCAACCAGCACTGCAACCTGTCCTTCTCCCATGTTTGCATGCATATCAACTCGGACGTTATAAAGTATCTGGTAAGATTCCTCCAGCAATAATTTCGCCACATTGAGCTGGAAGAAGTGACCTGTACAGAGCAGATATTCAACCAATCTTCCTCCGAGATTCCCATTTTAGTCTGTTGTTATTTGTTGCGTAGTCCTTGGTGGATTGGATGGAAGAATACAATTTTGAAACAAGCCTCTTACTGTCTTCTTCTTACAGATGTCAATACCTAAATCAATTAAGTTGGGGAATGGTTCTCCAAACATTTGATCTCACTATTAAAGTAGGTTCTGGTTAGCAGGTACTTAAAGAAATCACATTTGTCCAGACCGTACATATCTGAGGTTTTCTGAATTCTAATTCCACATTTGAGGAAACTAAACTAAAAGTAGTGATGCAGAACTTTCTTTTTAACAAAAAAATCCAAAAGAGTCCAATTTAATTCTCAAAAGTATGAAGCAGGGAAAATGTTTTCAATATAGATAAACAAGTGTTGTTCTTGATGAATGAGCACCAATATTGTTTGCTGAAAATTCAGCTTTGAGTTTAGTTAAAAAAATGATTACTGTGATTTAAAGAGAAAACCTTTTTTTTTTTTAATTTGCAATAATATACTGTACATGAGAAGAATTGGCTTTTTAACGTTGACCAAACACACTTTTGAACAGTAGTGTGTGTTTGTGTATGTGTGTGTCCTTACATCTAGGTGTCTCCGGTTGATCTCGTAGACGATCTGCAGATGTCGTGGCAGAAGCTTCTCGAACATGTAGACAGGCCAGCGCTCTAGAGCCTCAGGCAGCACAGTGTGGTTTGTGTATGCACATGTTTTGGTGGTGATTTCCCATGCCTACACACACATAAAAAATAACTAAAATGAGAAGTTAGCAAAAACAAAATAATTGATTTGTTTTTTTTTAAAGTTTACCAACAGCATGAACACATTTCTTTATATATGCAGCAAGTTAGAAATAAAAAAGTTTTTTTAGTTTTGTTGTTGTTGAAGTTTTATTTTGTTGTGTTTTTGTAAATATGTTTGTTTAAATATCTTTCTACAAATGTCTGATTGCTTTTTAAGTTTTATAAAGAGAAATTTAGTTTTACGTTTTTGCTTATTTTATTAGGTTTTAAATTACTGATAATAAATTAAACAAAATAACAGATATTTTTCAGTACATAAGAAATGAAAATTGCACACAAATTAAAATTCACACAAAAAGATATCTTCTATTTTTATTACAATAAACTATTGTATATATTTTTAAGAATTTTATTATTTATTTTACCAAGTAAAATAATTATAAATAGATTATAAATATATAAAAGTATAAATAAAGTATATTTTATTTACTTGGCAATAGGGGAACTATAGTTTCAAGTTTAGTTAATATAATTATGTTAATGATTCATTATTTAAATTTAACAAGTATTTTTACAAAATTTAACGAGAAGATTTATTTTAAAGGTGCAATAGGTGATTGCAGTAGGTGATATTTGGTTGTGCTGGTTGAAAGTCTCTTCACATTCCAATAGTAATAATTTAAGTAAATGATCTAAATGTGTTTATATGTATGTTTATATACTGGGTAAGGCATAAGACTAGAAAATGTTCATCCAATTAAAATTTGTCGGGCTGACAATTCCCATAATTCTGATAAGTAGCATAAAATGTCTGTCTGTCAATAAATGTAGATTTGTACATCTGTGCAGCCGTTTAAAGAGATCTGCCATTTGCACATGCACACGCGTTCACCTGCACACAAGAGAGAGTGACAGCGGTAAAAACAAATGCTGAATCAAAACTTTAAAATCCTGAATCAATATTGGAGTTAGTTTTGCACGCTGGAGGAAGGATGACACCATGGGTGAAGTATTTCTTTTACACAGGTAATGTTATGTTTTAAAACTATTTTAGTCACGCAAAGCTGATGTAGATTGTGTTGTGTTATGAATGGGTTATATGCACACAAGTGTTGTTCAGCCGCTGAAATCTTCTGGCCAAAGATTGATGAGACTATTTCAGTTTTATAAAGGGACCTGTCAGCATTGATATTGTAGATTTTTATTTAGTTTAACAACACCAGTAAATAGCGCTATTCTGCCTAGCCTGCTTTACTGAGCTGAAGTTGCTTTTATGTTCCCATTGGTTCATTTTTGAACAATGAAAGCTTGCAATGAGCTCCCTCTATATTGTTTACAATGCTACTCTGAAGATTCAGTCTAAAATAGCATGCAAGTATGGCTTAGTAATAAGTGTAATTCCTGCACCCTGCTGGCCAACCACTAAGCATACAGTAGTGGCTTTAGGACAATGTGTGAGAGAGTGAGACCAGCGAACATTGCATGCATGAAATATTGCACATTATGACAAGTTTTGCTTGCTACACAAGTGAAAATGTGCTTAATATACTGCAGTGTTTTGTTTGGAATTGTAGTATTATAAAGTTTTCTAACTGGCGAATGACATGAATTAGTGGGTTGTCTGCTGTCATCTTTAAGCTGCACGTTCATGATATCAGAAGGCGTGGCTTTGGACAGCAGGGAGGGGACTGTTTCAAAATTATTATGCTAGTCAGTTAACATTTTGACAGATCAAATGCTGCAACTTGAACTATAACAAATGAATTTGTATGCTTTTCAATTTTAACTAGCTAACTATTTTCAGTAAATTTACAAATAAACCAAATTATTACTGTCTTTCTGACAGTCTGAATATCCCACCTTCTCCCAGTCCAGGTGCTCAATATCCACGAGGATCCTCATGAGTTCAGGAATGGCCAGAGCTGGATGGGTGTCATTAAGCTGGATCGCCACCTGACAGAGTCATATTCAAATCATTACAACCAAAAAACTAATTTAGAGTATTTATAAGAGTTTACCACACATACAACAACAGCTCCAGCCACATGTATACTATGAATGCAAAACTACCTTCTCATGAAACGTTTCAAAAGAAGTGCGCACAGGATCCCTGCAGCCAAACTTTGAGGATTTGAAGCGTCTGATGATGTCCTGAAGAGTAGCAGCCACTACAAAATACTCCTGCTTTAAACGCAGCTCCTTCCCCTCAAAAAACTAACACACACACATCAGTTAGAAACATATACATCAATACTTTACTTTCTGTCAGTCTTTTATACATACTCACACACACACACATATTCAGGTTGCATAATAATTCTGTGAACAATTGCCCACTGTTTCTCAAGACTCCACATTAGACTTACGGTTTTATACTTCCTCACTGTATTACACATATCTGTGTTGCATAAGACTGTTTTCTCTGCTGTGGTCTGCTATGCCATATGCTACATTCCAGCATTTACACAGTCTAAATATACACACACATGACAGAGTTGTTTTAGTGCTGTAACTAAAACACATATCACACACACACACACACACATTCTCACCCTTTAATTTCTCTCTGTGTACATTCACTCCATCAGGTTTCTCCAGCACAGGAAAAAAAGTGCTTTAGCCTAAATTTTTTTGAAAGTATAAAAACCTACTTAAACATACATGTTTGACTGCAGTTTCTAGGTCAATTGAATACTTCAGGGCGCTATAATGTTAGAAACTTTTGTTTCTTTTCACATGAATGATTTTCAATTAATAAAGAATTGCTTTCATGCAGTTCAACACCAAATAAATACCACAAAACAACTTAATAGTGTTCCCAGAGATGGGTTGCGGCTTGAAGGTCATCCGCTGCGTAAAAACTTGCTGGATAAGTTGGCGGTTCATTCTGCTGTGGCGACCCCGGATTAATAAAGGGACTAAGCCGACAAGAAAATGAATGAATGAATGAACTTAATAGTGTCTATCTGTAATCAAATCTATTTTAATATATACAAAATATTAAATACAGGGTTGGGTCGATAGACGATGCCCTCGTTCACACTATACCGCTGAAAACGCACATCACATGACCCCATACATACTGTCATGAGCTGGTGTGGTGAGAAATCGAGTCCCTCCTGCAATCAATTCTACTTAGGACCCCTAAGGGATCGTCTGTGGTGAATGTCTAATCAAAAGCTATTATTGTGATCCCTTGTTGTGTGGTTAATCAGAGCTGCGTTAGCTTATTGTAGTAGATAAATTGTACCAGTTGTAATAGATAAATGCTCACTTTCATAACCTATGCATCCCTTTAATTCTACACAAGTATACAAAAGGGTCGATATAACGCTTATACATGCCATTTTAATGGTGAAATTAAGTAGTCACGCTTTTTACATTATATAAATAGGAACGTTATTTCATATACTGTACGTTATAATTACAAACTACAAATTATACCTATTACAACTCCAGTAAAACAATAGGAACACTCGGGGTCAGTGATTCTCAGGGGGACTCAATTTCTCATGACACCAGCAGCGTATGCACGTGTCTGAGCAGCAGCAGTCAGTGGGTGCTTTGAGCACAAAACTCCAGAGCAGAGCACATCGGAAAGTTTATCAAGGATGTACCACTGGATCGTGTCTCACTATAGTTGTTAAACGTGAGATTTAATTATTCTAGTCTCCCTCTAACAACTCTTTGTTCTTATGAATTTATCATGTAACGTGTCAGAGCGTCAGTACACTGCTTCAATCTTTTGCTTTTACGCTTGAACTTAGTAATTTTAGCAAAAACTTTAGATGCTGTTAGTTGGTTCCTGTTGGTTGTGCACCTTTTTTATCAACGCAGTTTGTCGACGCCAATATAACGAAACAGATCACTCTGCCTATTCATGCCAGAGTCCTGAGAAAAAAGGATTGACAGGTGGCAATTTGTGTGCAACTTATCTTTAATTATTTATGATTTGGTAAAACAAAGATCATGCGGGTCAGCTATTGATAGGCTACAAACAGTAGGCTACAAATAATTAATTAGTTATGAATCAATTATTTATAAATTCTACCGCTGCCTACAAAGACGATGCCATCGTCCATCTTGATGTTTCACATTAGACATTGAATAATGCCACATTGGTAGATATCGCCCATCCTAATATATATATACCCTAATCGCTAGATTTAGAGAAGGGGTTGGGTGATCTGTACAACAAGCCCTACCTTCTCATCTAGTGTACAAGTAGAATGTGTATATGAAACATACAACAAAATGTACCCCAAGTAACCCATTTCAGATTTGCAAAAATGTAAACAGCACCCTCTAGTGGATTTGTCATCTGAAATGCGCAATGAAATGTACCGGGAACATCTTTTTGCAATAAGCCTGGGCTACTTTTATCTCTGTGGGTGTACATTTACTCCTCAGTCTGCATTTTATAGCACTGCAAAGCACATACTTACATTGTCATTGGGGTAGAGAACCCGTGAGATGTTCTCAGCCAGGTTGCGGTCCAGTACTGCCTGGATGTAATCGCCAACATTAACTAGGTTTAAGAGAGAAGATGTCAAAATCCTCATATCTTTCTATCTTTCCCACCTAATTTAGGGATCGAATTTTAATTTAAGGCTATTCATACTTGAAATAGTTAAAAGGTGCTGCATGTAGGCTTTAGACTCTTCTAAAGCATAAAAATGTATTTAAGAAACATGCTAATAGAACATTCTTGTTTATTCTTGTGATAAAGTCAGTTATTTTTCTTTGAAAATGTGCAATCTATGTTGGAATGTCTGTCTTTGTTGTGGTCTGTATAACACCGCTTCTGCCAGTTTACCCAATTATATGTCGGCACCCTGGTTGTCTTATGGAAAAACAGCATATTTCATTTCAATTATGAAGGCAGGCATGCTCGTTCCTGTTTGTGTTGTCAATCTGACAACCAGTGATTGCGTCTAGTCATTGAAGGAGGGGCAGGATAAAAAAAAAATAATAATAAAAATTCTCCAACATTTTGAATTTGGACTGCAATACCCAATTCTACATACTGCACTTTTTCTCTGGTTCGATCTAAATCAGTGGTCACCAAACTTGTTCCTGGAGGGCCGGTGTCCTGCAGATTTTAGCTCCAACCCTAATCAAACACACCTGAACAAGCTAATCAAGCTCTTACTTGGTATACTTAAAACATCCAGGCAGGTGTGTTGAGGCAAGTTGAAGCAAAACCCTGTAGGGACACCGGCCCTCCAGAACCAGGATTGGTGACCCCTGATCTAAACCAACAAAACAGAAATGCAAGATTTTTCTTTTCTTTTTTATGTTTATTTCATTTCTCATACATAATGAGAAGATGTGGAACCTCTTTGGGCTACTGTTTTGTATGGCTATGATTTTTTTCTTACTTTTGTTTTGTTGTCTTCTTTGTTTCCAATAAAAAAACTAATGCATTTTTCAGCTTTCTATGTGTTGAAGTAAAGTATCCTTGCTTAATAAAGCTAAAAAAAAGTTATTTCTTTCTGTCCCCAAATAAAAGATTTAAGCCTAATTTTGATTAATAATTTTTGTTACTGATATTGTTACTGACTGTAGAATAATGCAATGGGCTCTATGTACAGCTAGAGTTTTATAGCCAACGATAATTTTCCGGTAAGAGCTTCATGTGAATATTTTCAATTTCACAAGGTTGTTTTTACAGCATCGATGTTGTAATGTAATCACAATACATTCAGTTAAATAGACTTAAGCATTCATTTAGTTGTTTGAGCGTAAAACACGATTGTTGTAACAACCGTTGTAACCACTAGCATCATCAGTGGCAACAGGTTAGCGCAGAAATTCTATTAAAAATACTGGTGTTAAATAAATTGTCATATTTTAAAGACCTGGCGGGGGGAAATGAAATATAATGCAGTGCTTCTTTTCCGGTCAGAGACCTACTTCATATCGTACATCTAACTGGCAGTGGAGATGGCTGATTTTTAAAGAAATCAGATCTTAAACGTGACAATTTTGTAATGGAAAGACAGTTCACTGAAAGCGCTTGGGCTGCCTGGCTGAAAATTAAAAGTCTCTGTGCATATAGGCCATTGCAAAGGAAAACTTGCACAAGCGATTTAAAGGAAAAGTTCTCCCAAAACTGCTCTAAACTTTCTTTTGTTTATCACAAGACAAGATAATCTGAATAATGTTGGAAAAAAAAACTGCTATTGACATCCATTGCAAGAACAAAATACTACAGAAGTAAATGGCTGCTTTTCTTCTAAAATTCTTCAGTATATCGTCCTTTGAGTTTAACAGAAGAAAAAAAATAAGGATGTAACAAAATGATGGCAGAATTTCTCTTTTCTGGGTGTACTATCACTTTAAGGAATGACTTATGGCATTTTATGTGACAACAGAACTTCACAAAACCTTTTGTGTACATGTCTGTTATAGATCAAGACCTTTAATGCACAGCTCAGAGGCCCTACAGTGGTGAATGTGCCTCTGAAAAGCAGTATCTCTGGGTAACGGTGGCCTTCTGCCAACTCATCTCCTGTTTCTGAGCCGCTGCTGAACAGCACTGGACCAGACGCCTATATTTAGTATTCTACACACAAACCTTTCCCCAGGAAACAAGTTAAACTCCAGAGAGAAGGTAAGTTTAGTCCAGATCAGAATTATTTAATACCGTTTCAGTAATACTGGAAAATTCAAGCAAATCATTTGAACTATAAAAGTACTTGGAAGCTGGGATCCAATGGTTTCATTTACTTTCAATGATAAAGCAAAGTACAGACCATTAACGTGTGCATTTGTGCGTTTTCTTTCATGTAAAGTTAAATAAAGTGTTAAAATATGTAACATAATTATTGCGTGGACTCACATTCTTGCAGGTTGAAATCATTAGGAGCTTTGGCAGACCATAGTCTCATAGTATTCACAGTATTGTTTTTATAACCAGGCACAGGAGTGTCATAAGGCATTGCAAGCACAACCTGCAAAAGACAAGAACAAGTTTTAATCAGGCTAAATTGAAATTAAATTACATTTATTAAAGGGAGGACACAAATTTTGCACTAATATAAAATGGCGTCCTGTAAGATTACATTTTTATTTTTACTTTTTTTTTACTTTTTACTTTTATTTAGCAAAGATGAATTAAATTGATAAAAAAAATAGGATTTCTAAAAAAATTTATTTCTTTTTTTCTATATGAATAAAAAAATCTTTCTATTTATTTAATTTATTTTGGCAGATGATAATCATACATTATGGTAACACTTTATTTTGATGGTCCATTTGAGTATTAGTAGACTGTCTGCTTAATATCTGTTCCTACTGCTGCTAAACAGACATTTAACTCACTATAATAAACTTTACAAGTACATGTCAACCTACACTAACCCTAACCCCAACCCTAGCACTAACCCTAACCCCAACCTAACGGTCTACCTATAATTTAATGAGAATTACTTGGCATGTAGATGCAATGTAACTTAAATTCAACAAACAGACCATCAAAATAAAGTGTGACCAACATTATTACTGAATACCAAATCATAAAATATATTTCAAAATAAAAAAATAATAACATTTTCCTTAAAACCAGTGCCTGTCGATGTATTTTGTTTTGTCATTTGAATTTAGTTTAACTGTTTTCCCCAGTCATCTTATCAGAGGCTAATTTAGTTATAAATAAAAGCATCACAATCGACCAGTTTAAGTCACTGCACTCGATCAGGGCTCACTAACCTGAGTGTCAACCCATTTTGGTCCGTCATGTGTGTGTTCCACTCGCCCATAGAAATGCACAGGCAGCATGTACTCAGGACGGGCCTTTTCCCAAGGGTTACCATAACGCAGCCAATCATCAGCTTCCTCAATCTGAAAAAGAGCATCCGGAAAATAATGTTAAATAGTTTGGACAAGGTTCAAACACTAAGCCAAATGTCAAATCCCCCGACTTTTCCCTTGTGCTGTTTGATGATGTAAACTGTAACCTTTTTATCATACTGTATAAATAGATTTGATTTCTGGTTGTGCAAATGTGGTTGTGAGGTGCAAAAAGAATAAATAAGGCATGGAAAAAATACCATAACAATAGGCAAAACGTGAACCCACATAAAAAATACTATAGTAATTTATACTATAGAGTTTTTGAACCATACTATAGTAAAGTTTTTTATTATATATACACACACACATGTATTTACAACTCTTTATTAAAGCATGCTGTAGCCACAGCCATATCACCCTGCTGCCCAATAATGTTTACTCCCTGAAGCTAAGCAGAGCTGAGCCTGGATGGGAGACCACATGGGAAAACTAGGTTGCTGTTGGAAGTGGTGTTATTTGTATATTGTCACTATACTGTCAGTGAGCACCGTCTTTTGGATGAGATGTTTAACCGAGGTCCTGACACTCTGTGATCAATAAAAATCCCAGGCACTTCTCTTCAAGAGTAGGGGAGTAACCCCAGTGTCCTGATCAAATTCCCTTTATCTGCCCTTAGCCTCCCAGTCCTCCACATCCACCAAAATGGGTGTATCATTATCTTTCCTCTCCCCCTATAGTTGGTGTGTTGTGAGCACAGGCCGTTGTCATCCAAGTGGATGCTGCATACTGGTGGTTGTGAGGAGAGACCCACCAACCCCTGCACCCCCTTATGATTGTGAAGTGTTTTGGGTGAAGGGCCATATACGGTAAATGCTAGTTTTTACTCAAGTAAACTGGTGAATTGTAGTATAATATACTCTGTATTTGAAAAAAAACTTGGTTCATTTGTTTTTATAACTGTAGTTATTCTTTTACCATAGCAACTACAGAAATACCACAATAGAATAAATACTTCAATATTATAAAAAAACAATATGGTATTAACAGTAAATTACTCTAGTATTTTTCCATGTGGGAAACAATGCAATTGAAAATGGTTTCGAAAATTATATTTTGTTAAATGAAAATTTTAAACGACAATAAAAATCAATGATATTCCATGACTTGAAAAAAAGTAAATAAAATTCCCTGACTTTCAGTGTCTGGAATAGATATTTGAAGGATTTGTTCCTTCTACTTAAATAAAAAGATCATAGATCAAAGATGAGATGTCATATTTTAGTGTCTGCAAAAATAAATTAATTCACAAAAGTCATTTTACATTTAAATTAAATAAAAGTAAAATGTTTTTTTATTTAACATCAAAACAAAATAATGTTCAATTATTACAATACATTTTCATATCATGTTTATAAATTTAATTTATTACAAAGAGGCAAAACCTAGTGCTTTAAAATATAGTGGCAAGGGATAATGATTAAAAACCTTATTTAATAAAAATAAAGTTTAATACATAGTCGTATTTAAAACAAAAACCATGTGATTAACATGATTCCTTTTGGTCTTTCTATGATATATGATGGTAAAAAAAGTATTTACTAAAAAGGTCAAATTAAAAAGTAACGTTAAGTTGTTTCTATGATAAATTATGCATTGACAAAATCCGTTTTGGTTTACCTGCCAGCCATGGGCAATTTTCTGATTGAAGATGCCAAACTCATACCGAATGCCATAACCATACGCTGCCAAACCCAGAGATGCCATTGAGTCCAGAAAACAAGCTGAGAGAAAAAGCAAACACCAAACGAACATTAATAAGAGAATCATACATTAAAGGAAGATGCAGGAGTATTCTACAGTTTGTGCTGTCCTATAGCTCAAATAGTAGAGAACGTACTCGCAACATCAAGGTTGTGGGTTATATTCTCAATGAAGGCAAAACTGCTGAAATGTCTGCCTTCAACGCAATGAGTATTAAATAAATGTAAACATCAGTACCTGCAAGACGCCCTAGACCACCGTTTCCCAATCCTGCATCCTCCTCAATTTCCTCCAGTTCTTCCAAATCAAGTCCAAGCTGAAGATCAGCACCATCAAGCCCAAAAAATAAATCAATACAAAAAAAGAGCAACATACAATATGCAAAAAATACTGTTTAACAATTGGTGAAAACATGTAATCTGATTACGCAAGCGTTCAGCCTCATATTTCAGCAACAGTTCGATAAGGAAGGTTTTAGTGTTAGTTTTGCAAGCATGTGGTGACTGCTCCACATCCCCCATGAACACTCTGTGGGTGAGCAGGGCAAAAAACAACAGCTGTTTCTAAAGTTTCAGGATGTTGAAGTAAGAGCTCTGGGCCAGTTCTGGTATTCAACAACAGACATTCTACTATTGTACTGTAGTAGGTTTGCTGATGCACTTTACCTGATAGATGGCTTCATCACAGGTATTCTGTAGCCCAAGGTTTATCATGGTGTTTTGTAGAGTTCTGCCCATGTAAAACTCAAGTGACAGATAGTGGATGCGCTGTAATGGAAAACACACACAGGAGTAGAAATGAGCACAGAGACAGCAGAAGCGGATCATCCAGCTTAACACTTTAGAGAGCATGTAAAAAGATTTAACAGAAGATGCTCAGTCTTACAGTCTGGAAAATTCTTCTTCTTATGTTACAACAACTAATAAATAAAGCCATAACCATGTTTGTTAATTGGGAAATGTTTAACTATTAATAGTGACTAATAATACAACTACAGTATATAGTGACTTGGGATCCTATGATTGGAGGATGATGATTAGCTAATGTGGACCATCTGGGTCAATCATGAGCACATGCTCATCTCGAAATTAGTTTAAAATTAAACTTAACTTAATATTTACATTAAAATGTTATGATGTTTTGAAGATGAAAAGACAGATAAAAGACAGATAAAAAGACAGTTTTAAACAGTCAACTTTATTATGATTAGTTAAGTTCAATACTGGTAATAATGAAATGTGGTTTCTGAAATATTGATCAAATGTGCATTATTTGACATTGTTCCTGTACAAGATATAAAATTAAATTAGGTTAAATTTAGGATTTTTAAATAAAGATTTTTCTATTCTATTGTTCTATTTTTTGACAGAAGCACAGTACAATTGTTGAAGTAACACCATAAACTATTTTAATTCAAGCATTTTCAAGGACCTATGTTTGTTTTAAGTACTTTCTAGGCCTTGAATTTTTGTCTACAATTTAAGTACTTTTAAGCAAGAGCATGAAATTGGCATGGACGGAGGGGACGTGTCACCACTAATATCTACCAATTATTGAAATGTCCCTACCAATAATTTAATTACCTTCAAAATAAAATAATGCTCCATTAACCTTAGTATCCTACAGCCATAAGCCACATATCACCCTACAGCCCAAGACTGGTTACTCGCTGAAGCCAAGCAGGGCTGAGCCTGGTCAGTACCTGGATGTGGGGACCTCATGGGAAAACTAGGTTGCTTTTTGAAGGGGTGTTAGTGAGGCCAGCAGGGAGTAGCGGGGGCGCTCAACCTGCGGTCTGTGTGAGCACTAATGCCCTAGTATCAAGTCAAGTTTGCGATGAGTCCACTATAATACTATTAACCAAGGCTGTGCAATTAATAGAAATTCAGTTTGAATTTGGCCTTTATGATTATGAAAAACAATAATCGGGATAAAACAGTTAAACTGAGTCAAACATCTCTCTAAATTTCTCTACATTCTTACCTCCTCAAAATCATAAAAAATGACTTGTGCAGCATGGAACGTGATTCATTAATGGTTATTTGTTTTATTAAGTGTTAATATTTATTTTATATTATTAGGTACTTTATTCATGTTTTCATTATTCAAAAAACAATACTTCATTGAACATTTCAATATTTTCAGATTTTTTTTTGGCAAAAAAAAGCAACATTACTTGTTCAGACAAAGATGTTGACAGAGTTTGAAAAAATATTTAAATCAATTAAATGCTCATACAACAGTGAGACAAATTAAGAAAAGATATTACACATTTCCAAAAAAGAAATAAACAGCATATAATACTCTTCAAAAAACTTGGATTTTTTTTATTTATTTTTTATTTTTTTGGTGGATATTATGAATCATTAAGGATGATGATTTCAGCTTCTCTTTTAATGTTCTGAAAAAAGTCACCAATAGTTTGTACATTTTTGGGTAAAGTATCCCTAACTCATGTCTGTTCCAGGTTGCTGAAGTACACCAAGTTTAATTTGATCTCTTTAGCCCAGGATCAACTTTTCATAAGAGTTCATTCATCAGATGTCCACACTGAGAAAGGTTTACAGTCTGCTGAAGGGCTCAAATCCACACAGAACAACATCTGAATACCACAGCAATAAAATCAATGGATGCTTCATTTCCACATGTTGCTTAATCTCTTACTGTAGGTTTAACAACAGTAACACAGTGTTTTACTGTTTTTCCAAGAGTCTGAAACTTTACCAGCATCAACATCTGAAACAAGTTCCTAGAAATGCTTCTCGTGTTGGTGTGCTCAACCTTATAACGGTATCTGGTTTCATTTACAAATGTCTACACAAGAGGAAAAAGCAGGCTTTCTGAACTGGCCCCAAAGGCAGATGAAATAAAACACACAAATCTCTGGAAAGAAGAAGTCAAGCTTATGAATTTTGGACAAAGCCCAGAAAATTGTTTCCAGAGCAGGAGCGTTCTTGTGCACTCTCACAACAAATAGCATTGAATGAATGAATAAATGAATGAATGAATGAATTACTTAAATAAATTAAAGTGACTTTCTTTTAAGTCGTATAGAGTTCAAGTTAATCAGCAAATTAGTCATATCTAAATTTACAACATAAAGATGTTAAGAGTTACATCAGAGAAGCCACAGAAGACCTAAAAAAAGCGATTTCTCTTATTAATCATCAAAAAAAGACTCATAACTCATAATAAATCACCCCGGTTACAGGTGTCTATTATTAGCCATGACATGAGTGATTCTGTACATGGACAATGTCGGTGCATTAGATAAGGCCCATTATCTTCTGGCTTTGACAGTATAGTGTAATCTGTACTTGCCCTAGTGAGCAGAGCATCAAGTGGTTGCTAAATACTTGATTACTAATGACAACCGGCAGATCACACTTTTTTCAAATGCTCAATGCATTAACAAATGGGTGACAATGAACATAAGGGGGACATAATGCTGGAAAAAACAACCAAACGCTACAGAAAACAATGAATGATTCACAATAAATGAGGAATTCAAATGACTGCCCATGCTATATGATTATGCTCACACTATTTTATATGTTATATATGAAGAGTTCAGATGCAAAAACCTCTTAATGTCATCTGAAATGTTCTCCTAAAATGAGCATTTTCGTCTGCCTTCTATGTTTAAGTTTAGTTATTTCACTAGAAATGCAATGAAAAGAAGATTTTCGTCACTATAAAAGTAAAATTACTGGGCCTACACACAGGAGTCAAAGAAAAATGTTAATTTTAGAAGAAAATATCAAATGGCTTTTAGAGGTTTTTGCATCTAAACTCTTCATATTCTGTCCTAATTAAATGTAAATATATTCACAACATATTTTTTTTATTTATTCATATTTAATTGTAATGAATTGTGTCACAAAGCAGTGTGTAATTCCGCAGTTATGCAATTATGGGAAAGACACACTTGCCATATATGTGAATTTTGGTGTCTGCATCAAGTTAAATTGACAATTTGTGTGCACACACACAAACACACACACAAATTATTGCAAGTGTCTACTATTTAACATCCCAAATAAATTTTGTTAATATAAAAGGGCAAAATATGGAGCAAATAATGCTCCATTGCCATTCAGTAATACAGTAGTAGGCCTGTCACAATAATCAATATACTGACTTATCACACAATACATGGACAAGACCTAAATCATTTTTGGTGATGCAATATATATCACCCATACATTAAAACCAATTCTTGCAACATTTTAGCTGATTGTGCAACATCTCTATCTCTATTGGGGGTGTTAGTGTCAGTATGGTTAAAAACACTGTAGTATTTACTATAATGTACTTTAATATATTTATTTGGCTGTCTGACAACTGAAAATGGATCTGGCAACTGAAAATGGATCTTTCGCAACCTCTGTTACTTTTTACCTTGCGTTTTTTGTTAAAATGTGTTATTATTATTTTGGATATTTCACATTCAGATTACAACACCTAATTATTAAAGCACTATGATTGAATTAAATATTCTTAAGAATAAAATATGTGTTCTTTGGAAGAGTGTACTTGCACTGTGATGGTATTATATTGTCATTCTTGTCACATTATTGAGTGGCTTAAAATGGTCTTAAAAAGACAATAATATCGTTCATCGCGATATATTTTGGTGCAAGATATCGTACAACAAAAAACAGATATCGAAACAGGGATCAAAAATGTTTTTCAAAATTGTCCTAAAACAATAATGGGTGTTGTTCATTGGTTTTAGGACAACTTTGATGAAATTTTTTAAACTACTTCAACTGTTGACTACTGTATACAACTCAAAAAGTATAACTAACTCTGACATTTAGTTACTATATATATTAAGAAAAGGTGACCACAATAAGTTCTTCTTTTTCCAGTGACTTCTTATGACAAATATGTAAACTAGTGGTTTTAAGGACAGTGACACAGTACAAATATTTAAAATATCAATAATTATTATTATTTTGGGGGTGGCACCATGGTGTCATCAAATGAGCTCTTGTTCTACATACGCCTGAAAAATATATTTTTACTATACAAACTTGATTTAATGGCATTTTACTGTAAATTATGCAAATAACAGTTAGGTAAGAAATATTATTATTATTATTATTTTGGATTCCTCTACTGCACAAGCATGTCACTTCCTGGCTTCCTGCACAAGGGGAAATCAGGAAGAGAGCGTACCTTCGGGTCTTTCTCATAGTAATACTGCTGAGTGCGGATCCAGCGGCCCACCAGGTGATCCCGCACGGTGTGCGCCAGGGCGAAGTAATAATCCCGCGGGGTCGCCACATTGCGGTCCTTCACAAGAGTGAAGTGCAGATGCCTGTTGAAGCTCTTTTTGATTTCAGCAACATCCCCGAGTCCTGCTATACCACGAACACTGATCTGCTTGCGCCTTTCATGGTCGGTTAGCGGTTTAGACATGTTGTCAAAAACAAAGGAATGAAAGTTTGGACCCTTGACTTGATGTGCACAGGTTGTTGCGAGTGTGCGCGAGGACTTTACACGCACTATTAGCTCTGAGACACACCCCTATGTCAACTAAAGAAGAAAGTGGGCGGGACTTACAGTCAGCTTGTTTCTATTGGCCAGTGACACTTTCGTTATTGCATTCCCATAGGCTGCGTGAGATGTCAATCATTCCGGTAACACTAACTAGCAACAAGTTTATGAATATACCCAGTCAGAAGATGAACCCTGGCTCAGGAGATATGTTTGTTTAGATTTACTGTATAAACAGCTTTATTTGTCACTATTATGTGACATTTTTATAAAACTCAGCTTTAGTATGAAGACCTATAAAGACTTGCCTACTTCCTTTCGTTTCATACAAACCGAGTTTTCACTACTGAATTTAGTTTGCCTCTTTTACTCATTGCTTACAGTTGTGGATTGATTTATCCATCTAATCTAATCTGTCCTTATAAGGAACGAGATTGCAGGCTACCAATAGAAAACAGCTATAAGTGGGAGGAGTCTGGTTTATGCATACAGCAATAGCACAAGTTACAATAATCTACTCATTTAAGCCTATCTGCTTTGAAATTATGACCTTTTAGAGCATTGAATTGTAAAACAGCAAATGATATTTTTCAAGGTCAACAGACAAAGTAATGCATAGTAAATATAAGAATGTAACAATTCTATTAGACTGCTTAAAACAGATTGCCCAAACTAGGGCTCATGATGGCCCACAGTAACCTTTGATTTGGCCCACCACCCCATATGAGAGGAGAGGAAGAATGATGGGAATGGTTTAGATATCGTATGTGACCTTTAGTTAGTTTGTAATATTGTTGAGCTACATTAAATGTTTACATTTAAATGATGTAAATTAATCAGATTGGTAAATGAGATGGATAAAAGACAATGCAGAGACTTAGGTGAGTGATTCAAGGCAGAGGCAGACTGTTATAAATATGATTGCTTGTATTGCAATAAGTTATAACAAAAAAAGCTAAACTGCTTTAGTTAAAACGATTCAAAGTAATGTTTTCTATTTATCAATATTATTAAATTAATTAGGAAATGAACCATGTCAACTTCCATGTAAAATAGTTAGAGAGGTATATTTGTCTTTGGCCCAAGGCCAATCAATGATTTTTGGTTTTTGGCCCTTCATACGAAAAAGTTTGGGCACCCGTGGAAATAAAGCTTATAGTGATTAAGTGTTTACCATCGTGCGACGTGCAATCCGTGTAACAAGCTGTTATCTTAAAGTAACAAATCATTATTGCTAACTGAGCTCTTAAGACACCGTGGCTTCCACTACCATGCTTAGAAACCCATCACTTGACTGTAATTCTCTCAAAATCAGGGTATCATCTTCTGTCCATTCCATATCCATTTTCAAAAAAAAAAAAAAAAAAAAAAAAGGAAAACTAAGAAAACTTTTTCTATTTTTCATTTGGTCAAAAAATACAGGGATTTTGGCTCGATTTTAGTTTTTTAATTGAGGGTAGGAAAACACATGTAGGCAGTGCTGTAACGCCCTCTTTTCTTTGGTTGGCTAACCAAATCTGAGCTCGTGACGTAGTCCTCAAAATAAAAGTCCTCTGTCCTATTATTTAGTTTTATTAATTTTACATATTCTATCATTTGATCAGTTAGCAGGCTTACATTCATGCATATGCATAATGTAAAAAAAATAAAAACCAGAATAAGAACACATTGGGCCTCAGGGCTATAAGAAAGGGTAACATTTGTTTTTATTTTTTTTCCTCCTATTTTAATTGTGTGTGGGGGTATATTTATCTCTCACACACACACACACACAGACACACACAGACACACACAGACACACACAGACACACACAGACACACACAGACACACACAGACACACACAGACACACACACACACACACACACACACAATAGGAGGAAATAAATTATATATATATATATATATATATATATATATATATATATATATATATATATATATATATATATATATGACTATTATTTTAAGGGCAACGTCGCAAACTCAGATTTGGTTGGTCAATCAGAGGAAAAGGGGCGTTTCAGCAACGCCCACGTGTATAAATCATTTATCCATTTTGCTACCTTAAACTAAAACAGAGTCAAAATCTGTTTTTTTTTTTTTTTAGTGAGCAAAAGAAAAAACGAAAAACATCTGTTTTCTTGGCTTTCCTTTTTTGTTCGAAAACGGATATGGAATGGACGGAAGACACCCTGATTTCCCAGAGATAGACCAGTCAATATACATTTATATAAAAATTTGTTTATATTTGTATATTTTTACAACAAAATCATATTTTGTAAATGCTATACAGAACAGGAAATGAAAAGTATTTCTAAAGACCTCAAAACCACATCCTTTGCATTTTCTAAAGACCTCAATACCACATCCTTTGATAAACATTCAGTAATATATTGAGACATTTGATCTGCTAAACCCCCTGTAGGTCTTAATTTTTGTGACCTCTGCTGTTGCAAGGAAAAAAAACTGCATGAACGTACAATAGAAGAACACGACAGAAACGAACACAAAGTAAACCACATCCTGCTGTCTCACTTTATGACCTTCTGAACTTTACATGTAATGAAAATGTCTCAGTACTTCAGTTTTTAACAGTCTCAGAATACATTTATATGGCACTTTTTATAAACATATTTAATAATACTAAAGAACAAACAGCATGTTTATAACCGACCATGAGTAAAAAGATCATAGCAGTTACAGCTGTTCTTACTAACATAAAAATGTTTTAGTTTAGCTCTGAGAGTAGATAAGAAGTATGTGCTTTGATCAAACATTTATAATACAATAAACAGAACTAAAACTACAGAATAATTAAATATAACATAAAAACAAAAATTGAGCACAAGGCAATAAAGTGTTTCTTGATCAGGTAAACCGTGACGAATATGATTCTGACATGCTGCAAATGCCCAAAACCAGTTCACACGTATAGATCTTAATGTCCTAGTAAGAAAAGTAAAACATTCAGAAAGTCAGAGGTATGTAGAAAAACTCACATTTTGACAAAATGGCAAATGACAAATACAATCAATGTTGGCGTTTTTTTTTTCCAGTCAGTGCTCCACTGGGTTGAAGAGTTTTTTAGCACGTCCCATGTTTACGGAACGACTCTATGCAATGGAAAGCGGCACCGAGGGCCCAGCTGGTCTCCGCGTTATTAATTTGTCTTGCCAGCTGAAATTTAAACAGAAAAAAACAGTATCAACCATGAATCTTGTCAAGATCAAGCAGGGCAGTTGTGGCCTGATGGTTAAGGAGTTGGACTTTGCAGGTTGCAGGTTCAATTCCCGGCCCCCAATTGGATGTGTCTGTGTGCTTTCACTCCTCTCAAAATGTGTGTGCGCACATAGATGGGTTAAAAGGACCAAATTAGAGTTTGACCAAAACCATTCTTGACCATGCTCACATCACTTCACTCATAATGCTATTAACTACCTTATGCATGTGTTGAAATCTGTGTCCAAAAGTCAACACAAAGCAACTATTACACAGGGCTATTAAATCAAGAATCATAAATCAAGAATAGCACACCTTCAGCTCTTTGTCAGGCGGGAAGTCCAGCTCCTGAAGAAGCACAGAGATGTAGGTCAGATCCAAACACAGGAATGGAGACTCCTTTATCCCGCCGGCTGACATGTTATTGCACACTGAAGAATAAACAAGAGAATGAACAACGTTTTTGCAGAGCAAAGGTAAAATGTGGGATTTATTGAAAAATGCATTCTAGTAATAATAACATCACGTCATCTTATTCCTGGAACAATACTAGTGTTTAAAGAGGTGGTCCAGAATGTATTTTTAAGGCTTGGTTTGTGTTTATAAGATGCAAAGCTATGTGTGCTCATGCTTCACTTGTTAAAAAAAAAAAAAAAAAAAAATCACATTATTTTTTCATATATCTTACTTTGATTATATACAGCTACTCAGCTAACATGAAAACAACTGCCATAGTTCCGTCAAGACGCTCTGATTGTCACAGGGAAAAGCGCCACACCTCTAATAGCATGCATTCTTCCTCTGCTGTGCAAATACTGTCAGTCAGCGTAGCTGTTAGCCACATAAGTTTGAGCCTGAATTAGACATAACATAAAGAGCACACAGCTGAATCTCATGCCTGCTCTCTAAAATACAAACTGACAAGTGTCTTTCACATATATTTGGTATAAGCATGTCTAAGTATTATGAAACATCACATATCTTTAGCGAGTTTGTTATTTGAGATGTAGAATGCACGGAAAGTGTCCGCATAGAGACATTGGTGTAGATTGTAGGTGTTTACAGTGGATTGACTGGTAAATATGCATTTGTAGCTAAATTGTTGAAGGTGCCAAACAGAATTTCCCGTTGTTTACATCCTTGTTTACATCCTCGCTACAAAATACAACACTAGACACTGTGCATGTAGTTGATCAATTTTAACAAATAAAAACACTTAGAGGTTGTGGCTCACAGTCCACAGATTCTGCTTTTATGGTTGTAGCTGCTCCTTCCTTGAGGAGTTTATAGCCGAATCCAGCATTGAACCGAGATTCTGGAAGCTACCCTGTCAAATACTAGCTATATATTATTTATAATTCTCTGGAACATAGTTAAAATTAAATTGTAACCACTTCTCTCTTTGTGTCGTGTCTTTTGAAAGCCCAAATACAGAAACAGAACAAGCTCTGCGGAAATAGCAGTTTACTGCATTTAAACTGCATTTTAGCTTTCTCTGCTACATTACAGCGCCTCTGGCCACGTCCCTTCACCTTGTGGGGTGAATGCACATAACCAGAAGCCCTTGTGATCTCACTAACCCAGATGTATTTTTTTGCAGTCCCCATTCTTCATTCGCTGTAGTCTTTGCTAAGCTAACTCTGTAAAAGCCAACGTGTCCCTTTGCATTGAACTTTGAGCGTCTTACATTTAGAGATGTTGTTTATATTCAAACAGCTGCATTACACATCAACTAAAGTTTAACATGTGATATCCTAGTGGACCACCCCTTTAAAAG